TTTTTTTTTTGTAAGCAGTCTCGAGACACATGGTCAACGTTAGGGCGCTGCAGTGTGATTAGTGAAACGACCGTCCTGCATAACTGTTGGTGAATCTAGCTTCTTTTTTTAAAATTGAAAGCACATTACTTTAAAAGCACTGGGATTTTCGTGCAGAAACATGTTTGTAACAAGTTGGAATGGTGTGCTGTTTTTTTTTGAAAGAAAGGAATGGAAATTAAAGTGTTTTGACACCAATTCATCATTAATCAAAAATGGTTTAGACAAGTAATTGATTTACAAATTAACAGATTTTTTAACAGATCGTTGTTGAGCTTTTCAAATCGGCACATACCAGACTTTGAGCCTTTGACATGCTCCATCGTCTCCCTGGTGTTAATACCGACATCATAGAAATCTCTTCTGCGTCCACCTCTCTCTCCTATCTTCACCTGATGAAATCCAGCTGAGATCTCCATAACATCTACAAAATAAGATACGCAGAAAAAAACAGCAATTGACAAGGTAAACAAAAGTACATAAAACATAGCTGACATCATACTTCTCCAAGATTAACTACTTTTATAAATGCAAAGTTCAGACTACACGTTTTGCTTACGTTGGTCACTAAGGTTGAAGAATGAGAAATCTTTTAGATCTTTGCAGCAGCATGGATCAGCTGTAGAATGGTCATCCCCAAACCAGAGGTTGGGTGTTCAATCCCGGCCATTGGCATTTTTTTTTTTTTTAAACAGAACTTTGATGAATCTTTTTTTTTGTATTTTTTTTTTTTTGCTCATGAAATGTTCATGACTGTTAACCTGGTAGATTCAATTATATAATTGTCCAATTTTTGTTTTAAAATCAAATTCTTTACAATACAAATGTACATTTTTATTGGTGCTGTGTTTTTTGTGCTTGATGTTGGTGTTATAATTGATTGGAAAAATGTGTTCCTTCAATATAAAGTTGCTGAAGTATACGTCGGTTTGATTTGACATGCTATCATAAATTTGTTCTGTGTTGGATTGGGCAAGTGGCCACACTAAGTGTGACACCAACCAGACTCGATCATTGCGTGCTGCTGCTTGAGTTATCGTCTGATGGGAGGTCTTTGTAGAGGTCAGACAAAAACAGTCCAAAGAGCAGGGAAAAAGTTTGTGGTCACGCAGGACCATGGGAGAAAAGGGCGGGTTAGTATGGTTAATGCTAATTTAGCCTGAGCATGCTATCTGTGAGTTACGGACATGTCAACACAACTTTAAAAAAAAAAACATAACAGTGGATGTTTGTCTGCAATGTGTCGGTTGGGTGCAAATCAGGCTACGCTCGTGGAGTCTGAGCGCAACTTGCATTCAAGAGCAGAAACAGGCAAAAACATTATACCCTGTAATACAACCATGACATCTTTGTGAAAACATACCTTGTCCAGAAAATGGTGCCATACTTTTTTTCTGCCTCCCTCGACCAACAATCCCACCTTCTTCTTTTGCTGCAACTTCCGGTGCAGGTTCTCGTGCCCGAGTCTTGCAAGAGCAATGAGGATGAAAAGTCGAACATTTGCCATGACAGTTGCACAGTCAATTCATGTAACGTCTGGATGTCGTTGCACTCCATTAGCGCTGCACAATAGATCGCAAGAATATTGTCACCGCAATAATGGCACATGCAATGTGTGTATCCAAAGAGGTACAATAAATTAATATCATGCAATTGCATGTTTTTATGTGAGTTCGACCAATTAGATGCAACCCTATCTGGGCATCACCACCCAATAAGAGAACAATATGCAGTCAGTTTTGCATGAGGACATAATTTGATGGCCGCCGTGCAGCGACACCGAGATAAACCATCTGGCCAACTCTCCTGTGACATGTTTTAGCTGCCGTTTCAAAGTGAATGTAGCCGTTGGCAGGTAGTCTGCCCAGTCAGGCCAGCCACCACAACAGTTGTTCATAAGCTATTATGCAATGTGCCACAAGGATCAGCTTCCAAATAAAAGCAAAACCATTAAAACTGTGCAATCTCTTTATTTTGAACTTGGAAGCTGACTTGACTTGAAATTGTGGCTGGCCTGACCTTTTCTTATTGGGGCCTATTTTCTCATATGCGTAAGTCGGAAAAGGGGCGCTGCTGCGCACTTTTTGGGCTGAGTAGATTGTCCCATCGACTGAAGTGTGTGACTTGCATACCTTGTAAAAAAAATGTATGCACTCTGGGTGGAGCGACACTGAATTGAAGAAAGTCACGTCAAATCTAGCTGTGTGCTCTCTCAGAGACTCAAAGCAACACTCCAGTCAAAATTCATTTTACTTCTATTAGGCAGTAAGTAAGAACAAATATCAATGGCCTGCCGCGTGACAAATGGGAGTTGTGAAATCCATAGAAGTGATGCGTTAAAACAACAGTTGTCTCACTGTTTTCTACAAAGGGAAGAGCACCAACTATGCATTTAGTCATGAGCACAGTGGTCTGATTAAATTGCTTTTATTGTATTTCTTAAATAGAAAGCAAATACAGATGGTCCTAGGTAGCCTGTTGGATGAGCCGCACACAATGCTGGGACAATACTTCCGGTTCTATGAGCAAGTTAATTTCACTTTTAAATTGTGACATACATTCTACATATATCTTGATGGAATGCGGGTCTCAGAAAAACTCCACAATCTGCAACTTGTAGGCAGAGTCGAATTCAATGGATCACACCTCCTCGGTACATGCTTGTTACACGAGGTGGGTGTGTCGATCTAGACCAGGGGTAGGGAACTCCAGTTCCTCGAGAGCCATATTCTGCCTGTTTTAGGTCCCTCCCTACTCCAACACACCTGATTCAATTGTTCAGGCCTCGACACAGCTTGCATAAGATGCACAAGGAAGATGCATAAGGAATAGACTAAAGCATGAATGGAAGACTATACCCATTAGGGCACAGAAGCGTGATGACAGACTTAAATAGGAGCACACGATTCAATTCTCAGTCCTGATAAACAGTGGCACACCACTTATGGGCACTCCTGTACATATCCACACATTTCAATTTTACAGAGTGCTACTTTCATCTGTTGCCTACAATTTTTGTGCTTCTATGTAGTTATATTTTGTTTTAAGATACGCGATAATTCAACATCAATGTGTATCGCAACATTTGAACTATGCTCACCCCTGGTGCAACAGGATCCTGGCCACGTGCCCTGCCTCTTGATCTTGAACGTGCTCGAGTCGGAATTTGCTCTTGACTGGCCATTTTCCCCTCAATCCTCTTCTTTATTTCTGAAAAACATGCAAAGTTACCTTTCAGCACGGGAATCCACTGCACACGGCTCACCAAACGGCCATATACGAGCAGTGATCCAAATGATAATTAGTCGATTAAATCTCGTTCGGGGCTTCCAGCGTTTGTTTGGGCCCGGTTAGCACCTGCTCGTTGGATCATCCTTACCATGTGGCCACTCTGCTAACCGTGGCTAATTCAGTGAATATTTCGACAACACCGAGTATCAAAACTAATAGCAGTCTGGTATCTGAGAGCTTTACTGTGCGACATAATACATTTTCATTTTAATTTGCCTTAATCAACAATGATTCAAATTATTTTTCGAAGTTGATACCTCATTACAAATTATTAGCTGCGGATAACAGAAATGAAGAACTTCTGTTCAAAATTGTAAATTATATACATTTTGATTCTAATACTTACGCAGAAAGAATGAATTCTATCGGCGATTACAAGTTTCTGAAGCCAACGGTCAAGTTGCGTTAATTGACGTGGTGCATTTGCGTTGTAACTCACAATATCATTCCGCGCGCAAAGTGCAATAGACCGCTGTTCAACATTTTAAAGACACTTCATTTGCAAATAAAAATTCAGCTATTCTAGATTTGACCAAATTTTGTGTTAATTCACGTTTTGAAAAAAGTTATCCCTGATTTGTTTTCAGAACTATTTCTTTTCAGCGCACTAATTCGGTTTAACTGTGTGTTGATGGAGGGCGCAAGTTATGAAGCGCAGTTTGAGCTAATTCCACTTGAGGGCAGCAAAGACTGGCTGCAAATATGGGAACGGTGGGTTCCCTGTGCTGAACATTTTTGTTTTAACTGATGAATGTTTTATAACACAATAATCTGAAACAAAGACATAAACGCTTACTTGAAGACTACTACTAGTAGTAGCAGTAGTACTTCTCCTACTAGCAGTAGTAAATATGGATTTGATAATTTTAGTAAAAATAAATAAATAATGAAGACGTTTTCAAATGTACTGTATAGCTATATTTTGCTGCATGAATACACTGCAGTCAATAGTTATTCAGAAATGGCTGTGTGCTTATGTATTTATTTGATTTTCTGAAATGGAACTTGGCATTTCGAGGAACATGAATCCAGGGCTTTCATGTCTGAGATCTGAGTGATATCAGATTTACATCTGGAACGACCTGCTTCTGTCTTCCGTCTGTGTTTACCTGATGAAGGAGGATAGAAAGAATGCATGGACAACACTTCATTTAGTACTTTTTTATTTTGCTTTTTTAATCAAGGGAACATTACAGCAAGAGCCACTGCAAATATTATGAATAGAATATGCAGTGGTCCCCTCCGTGGTTGAGGGGTTTGTGTGTCCCCATGATTCTAGATTTGACCAAATTTTGTGTTAATTCACGTTTTGAAAAAAGTTATCCCTGATTTGTTTTCAGAACTATTTCTTTTCAGCGCACTAATTCGGTTTAACTGTGTGTTGATGGAGGGCGCAAGTTATGAAGCGCAGTTTGAGCTAATTCCACTTGAGGGCAGCAAAGACTGGCTGCAAATATGGGAACGGTTGTTTCCTTGTGTTGAACATTTTTGTTTTAACTGATAAATGTTTTATAACACAATAATATGAAACAAAGACATAAACTATTACTTGAAGACTGCTACTAGTAGTAGCAGTAGTACTTCTCCTACTACTACTACTACTACAAGTAGCAGTAGTAGTAATAGTAGTAGTAGTAAATATGGATTTGATAAATTTAGTAAAAATAAATGATGAAGACGTTTTCAAATGTACAGTATAGCTATATTTTGCTGCATGAATACACTGCAGTCAATAGTTATTCAGAAATGGCTGTGTGCTGTGCTGAAGAGTGCTCCCGCTGGGGACTCCCTCATTCTGCTGGGGGATTTCAATGCTCACGTGAGCAATGAGAGTCAGACCTGGAAGGGTGTGATTGGGAGGAACGCGCCCCACCAATCAGAACTCGAGTGGCGTTTTGCTGTTGGACTTCTGTGCTTGTCACAGATTGTCCATGACGGACACCATGTTCAAAAAAAATTCACAGGAATTAGCCAGGAGCTGAAAAATAGAGGGAGGGAAAGGGCTGGAAGCTGAGCAATATTAGAGCCATGTAACCTGCCAAGAACAGTGATGACTTCATATATTCTAGTCAACACGTTAGAAAAATCGACAGCACTTTAGTTTACTGCTTCTGTTTTCATTTGACATTTTTGCATAATGCTACAATTTTACCAGACAAAAAATGACAACAGATGTGGTCACAAGGTGTGTTCCAAAGCGCACAGGGCTTGTTACTCTGCTGCTTTGACAACAACTAACTGGTTTTGCATAATGCTACAATTTTACCAGACAAAAAGTGGCAACAGATGTGGTCACAAGGTGTGTTCCAAAGCGCATGGGGCTTGTTACTCCGCTGCTTTGACAACAACTAACTGTCCATCCTTCCTTCCTTCCTTCCTTCCTTCCTTCCTTCCTTCCTTCCTTCCTTCCTTCCTTCCTTCCTTCCTTCCTTCCATCCATCTACCCAAAAAATGTCACCACTTCACTCCACAAAAATTCCTCTTGGGACTTGACAAAGACAAAAGAGTTTGTCTCAATCTGTATTTGCAAAATGTATTGCTCGGTGGATTTCCTTTCCCAGCCAGCGCAATGATTGCCTCTCTCCTTCCTTGAGCAAATTTGCTGCTCTACTCACCGCACATATGTGGCGTGCCTCATGGTAGCATCGATTGCGTATCCATTGTGCATTATGAGCAAACGCGTCCCCTCTTGCAAATATGTGGAGGATGAGGCCTGACACAGAGTGCAAGTTCTGTGTCTAAAGGAGGGGTGTCCCTGATGCTGTCAGGGTGAAAATGGGCCAAGTAATAATATGTTTAAGTAATTGGCCAGACAGCCACTGAGGCCAATGAAGGTGCTCAATTTCTAATATATTGCAGGGCTCATATCCGAGCGGAAGTGCGTCACGGGAATTATTTTCGATAAAAACATCACCCATGCATCTGTCCATCCATCTATGTTTCCCTCAACAAAACACACAACAATAACTGACAATTTAACAATTTGAATTAGTTTTGTTTAAAAAAACATACAGTGATAACAAAATATATGATTTTATTTTTATGACGGATATGTAAAAGAGTAACCCTCCGAAGGCACACTTTGGGCACTATTTTAAACGAAAAGCTGAGGTCATTGTTTGGCGAGCATCTAGAGAACATTTGGCAAAAGTTAGTGACCTTGAACGAACCCCAACAATAACGTTCGCTACCTTCCCAAAGACCCGCAAAACTTCGCCGCAAAGTGGGATACGGGTTGTCATGTAGTAAGATGACAGTCAATACTTCTCATTGTCCTTGGGGCCAATGACCATGATCTGACTTTCACTGAGCCACAAAATCATGATTCGTAGATTCTAAGCAACATGGCTTGTTTTCTGAATAAAATATAAACAAGAGGAAATATCAAACCCATTAATCTTTCATTAAGCTTGCCAGATAAAAAAGAATCGCTTAAAGTATCTTTCGTTGCCATCAGTGCAAGTGCAGAAGCCCCCTGCTAACATCAAAGGCTTCTCAAAGAAACACAGTGGAGAGAGTCAGTTAGCTGAATTTGGTTGAGAACCAGCTTGCGTCTGCCTTTTGATAACGACTAACATTATGATGACGCCAAGGAGGAAACACAACAAATGTTTGTCAGTTTTTAGTGCCACGAGGCGTGGATCCACATTTATTGTCACCTCAAATCAGTGTGGCAAAAAAAGGTCAGAGGTCACACAGAACCCAAAACCAACAAGACTTCGACCATGCATCGAAATGGAGGATGGTCTCCCAAGTAATATTTTGCCCTTCATGATAGCATTTTTTTAAGTAGAAGGCTGAATGAAGCACAAATGATGGTGTTAATGACATCCTTTTTTTTCCATTAGCTCTCTTGCAAGCGAACACACTAAACAGCCTGGCAGCCATGCCAAGTAGGTTAATGACATGCACTGGATTAAGGTTTAGTATCGCGACGCACTGCTGCTACACTGTCAAACTAATCTAACAAAGAATGAAATGAACCTCCTGTGATTCTCAATATTGTTCTGACCCTCTCCCCGAGATTAACATTGTCATGATACAAAGGCACTCTAAAATACACCACTGAAGAAGTCTTCAATTGACTTCAGAAGCCCAGTATCATGAGTTAGTCATGGTTCACACTGAATTAAACATGGGAAGACGGGTTTCCTTTTATCTACAGCCAAAGTGCTAAATCTGACCACTGCAACAGATATTCACCCACTTCAAAATCTTCCCTTTGATAGTGAAAGCGAAAGAGCTTCAAATGTATCAGTTTGTCCTCATTTTAATGTCTCGCAGTGGCAAACACTGCTGGATGTTTGCAGCTGCTACAACGCAAATCTGATTAGTTTTCCTGTCGGCCCTTCCCTTTTGAACAAACACCATTGCTATTTAGGGGGTTATTCTTTCACGTTATATTGTACTTTGGATTTGCTTTGTGCATTTCATTTTTTTTTCAAGTCGCTACTGTTCTTCAACGTATTATTGCAGTGCCATAACGTATTGTAATATTGGCACGTCCACTCAAACACAGGTATTGCACTTGACTGAGTGCCCCGCTCTGAGAGCGAAGGAGGCAGTCCTTAGAGCCTCAGTGGGGTACACACACAACGATTTGAAACATCTTGGCCAGTTTTTTTTTTAAATGGGAGACTCTACACATGAAGAGGAAAACAATGAGTGGTGTGTTGAGTTCTTCACTGCTCTTATGATGTCTGTTGTACTTAAGATGACCGACACAACACACCGCAAGTTGCCAATCTGTGAGGAGCAGCATTGTGCCAAGGGGGCATCCAAGACAACCAGTGTGTGATACTGCATATTTTTGTGTTGATCCGATACCAAGCAACTACAGTGCAGAATATCAGATTCTGATACGGATAGCAATATTTTTCAATCCTCCAGGTAGGTGCATCATCAAATTGCACCTTGCAATTAGTTCTCCCAACCTTCAAGTATTTTTGTGGTGTTCCCATTTTTAACCGAAAAGAAATGGTCAAAACCCCGGACATAAATAGGACAAAGTTAGTTGGTAAATAACGATACTTTTCCTCCATACATTGTCATGTCTGGAGTTTTTTTTTCTTAAAGAAACAAATTTTTTCCCCCCCAGGTACTATTTGTAAGCTATTATTCCAAAATTAAATAAACATTCTCCCTCAATGGAGTTGGCGACTTATACACAGTGTATGATCTGTATACAGGGAGGGGCGGCAAAATTATAATTTCAAAATGACAGTTACTCAGTAGCTAGCTTGGAGGATGGCGTAAACAAAATGTATTTAATCCAAATTGAACTACTCAACCGTGAGTGCCCAACGTGTCATGTATTATCACTGATGCATTCTGATTAAAAACAAAAACTTATACTTCCATTTAAAAGTGAGGGTCTCATCTTTGCTGATGCGGAGTGATATTTTTGGAAAAGCAGGGATGAAGGCCTGAGGTCGTGTGGC